TCACATCAACATCCCCTTGCTTCACCCCCCCCTTTACATTAGAGCCCCTTTCACATCAGGGCCCCATATCACAGCAGTGCCCTACTCACATCAGAGGCAACATTCACCCTGGAGCCTCCCTTACATCAGAGCACTATGCACATCAGAGACCATCCTTGCACATCAAATCCTCTCCATCATACCAGAGACTCCCTTTCACATCAGAGCCCCCTTGACATGAGAGCTCTTAGTTTCCCTGTCCTTTCTTACAATTTTCAGCACATCAGCATCATAACTCGGGCAGGAGAAAGAGCAGATCTGGTCAAAGAGCAGAAGGTGGAGCAGGTCCTCTTTTGAATGCTGGAGTGGCCCTAGATGCCACCACACTGGATCAGTCTCATACATTTCAATGGTCTGGTCAGTCATGCAGCCAGCACTACAGCAACCAATTATGCTGCATGTCCTTGCTCAGGATCATTGGTTATGATTGTGTTGGCAGGAGACAAATATAAAAAAAGTTGCTGCAGGTTGAGTAGAATCTTGTAGTGGGCCGCATGTGGCCCAGAGGCAATAGTTTGGAGACCCCCTGCTCAGGATGATTGAAAAATGTTTACTAAACCAGTAGAATTGCAAAGCTTTTACTAATAAATAGAATCGGAAAATAAGGGATGGGGGAGACCTTTCAAACAGCCACTTCATATGCATTGCCAAAGAATTTCTAGGTGTGCTATGAAACTATGTATGAAGAAATGAGACCATTGGTCAAACTTTATTTCCCACTCTATTTATTAAAAGCTTGGCTACTGTTGTCTTGAGTATTAACTCTCCATCTGGACAAATGCAGACCACACAGGGGTAGATTTACTAAAGCTGGTTCACGTAGAATCTGGTGCATCTGTGCATGGTAGCCAATCAGGTTCTAACCTCAGCTTGTGCAATTAAGCTTTAGCAATAAAACCTGGAAGCTGATTGGTTTCTATGAAGAAGTGCACAAGATTCTGACTGGACCAGCTAGTTTGCTTGTTCAGCAGTTTAGTCAACTTGTATCTATGATAAACTTTGCTGGGTGTGGACCATGGACAGACGTTCTCAGTTATTCACATAATAATGTCATGGGAAGTTTTAAAAAATATTTTTTAAACTTTAATAAAGTCCACCCAAAGGCCCACAAGCATGGAACACTAGGCATACAGGGGGGTGTCTTTATGGCTCTAGGGGTACATGCAAATGAAACCACCAGCAAATACTAGATCTTAGCTTGGTGTAAAAACCTCTTAGTAAGCTCGAAAGAGTAGGGCCCTCTAACCCCTTGTGTGCTGTTTGTTGTTGCTGTACTGTTGCTGTACTGTTTCATGTATTGTCCCCCCCCTCTATTGTACAGCGCTGAGCAAACCCTTTGGCGGTATATAAACTCAATGTAATAATAATAATAATAGTACACACTTCTTAATGTGCACTGGTTTAATGTGCATGTAGCTGAAGGGGCAGTGCAATCTTATTTTTTTACACTGTATTCCCTTGTAAGCGCTTCATTTAAAGGGCAGCCTAAGTAAACGGGACCATGTCTCCCATTGCATGGGCAATGGTGGCTGTAAATAAAAAATAAACAAGCGGTATATATGCAAATATTTTAAAAGGTTTTAAAATTAGTATTAAACACAAAACCAAAAATTTATTATATTGCAGCTTACCAATAATTAGATGTGGTGTCTGCATTAGTTTTCAGTTTTTAAACTTTTTCCCCCTCAGTTTTCACCTGGAGATCTGGCCAGTAACACACCTCCTGTATTAGGGTGCCTAAACTCTGGATTGGAGGCGCGACAGATGCACCTTTGGACAACAGCATTGTTAATCTGGGGGGCGGGGAGCGTTAGATGCATTAGCAGACTTATATACACTGACAAATTGAAGCCAAACTCCAGCTAACACTTTATAAGCAATTACAGCAACAGCTCTTTTTATCTTTTGGGGTAAAGGTTTTACATACAGTAAATAAATAAAAACTAATAATTGCAAGCACTCCTGTCAGTGTTAAATTATTTGTCTCCACCTTCTAAACTGCTACATTTGCAGGGCAGTTTGTTCTGTTGGAAAAAAGTAGACTTACCGGCTAGATCACCAGCTGAGAAAACAGAAAAGAAAGCTTGAAAAAGAAAACCAGTGTAGCTATCACAACTAAGAATTGGTAAGCTGCAAAATAATAGATATTTGCTTTTGGGTTTAACCGGTTCTGCGCCGCCCTAAAGCAAAAATACTGCTACAGAGTGACACGGGTGCACAAAATCACACATATATATATATATATATATATATATATATATATATATGATTTTGCAGTTCCAGGTAGGGGGTGCGCACCCCTACCAGTGCCACCATTCGCGGCCTCGGCTGTCAATCACCGGGTCCCGGCCGGTGGTAAATCGCCAGCACCCGGTGATTGGCGAGTATCTCCTACAGAGGAGAGACCTGTATATAAAAAATAAAGTTTTCTCCCCTGTCAGCTCCTGCACACTGCTTTGTATGGCTCTGCATAGCGGAGCCATACAAAGCAGTTTGCTTACCGTGAAGCACAAATAACAGCACACAGTTAACTCTTTGATTGCCCCACATGTTAACCCCTTCATGCAAAGTTACAGTAGTACAGTGTCAGTGCTTTTTATTAGCACTGATCACTATATTGGTGTCACTGGGGATGTCAGTGACACAAAATCAGTTCCCCCCAGTGTCAGAATGCCCGCTGTAGTCCCGCTATAAGTCGCTGATCACCGCCATTACTATTAATAAATAAATAAAAATTCCAGTATATATACTGCCATTTGTAGATGATATAACTTTCACATAAACCAATTAATTTATATGTATTGGGATTTTTTTTAGCAAAGACATGTAGCAGAATACAATTTGCCCTAAATTTATGACAAAATTAGATTTTTTACATTTTTTTACTGGACATGTTTAATAGCAAAAAGTCAAAAATATTGTTTTTTTCTCAAAATTGTCGGTCTTTTTTATTTATAGTGCAAAAAATAGAAACCGCACAGGCGATCAAATACCACTGAAGAAAAACTCTATTTGTGGGGAAAAATTATGTAAATTTCATTTGGCTGTAGCGTTGCATGACCACGCAATTGTCAGTTAAAGTAACAGCGCCGTATTGCAAAAAATGGCCTGGTCAGGAAGGGGGAGGGGGAATCCTGTGCTGGAGGGCAAGTGTTAGTGATGAATTTATAGCAGCCACTATGATAGAATTGGCAGAGTTTGTGGAGTGACTTTGTATTACAATGGAGAAAAGGACCTCATCCTTAGCTGGATTTATGGCTGGAAATATGACAGAATGTGGCTGCCTAGTCATCATGCCTCATTAAAAGATATACTTGTTAGTGGGCAGGCCAATGATAATCCCACAATAAATATAGGATTAATCTTGTTTAAGGTTTGCCATACTGCCCTGTTATTCATTCTTTCATGATAGTAACAAGCATTAACATTACAAAGAGCCAGTGCATACTTCTAACAGCAGAAACGTACCATAATCACCTCCATAACAACGACATCCCTCTTGCACCTACTGTAGAAAGGTTAATAAAGTGAACTTTAAACCATTAGTTAATAATTTTATTCAGATGCTACAAAATATACATTGGAGATTAATGTTGAAGAAAGACACGAGAGCAGGGGCGGACTGACCATTTGGAAACTCGGGCAATGCCCGAGGGCCCGGGGTCAGTAGGGGGCCCCATGAGATGCCCCTGGAACCTTTTTCATAGGCTTTTTTTAGTTTGGGCAAGGATATAGGGGCCCCATGATCCCCTATTGCCCGGGGGCCCCATGAGTTGTCAGTCCGCCCCTGCACAAGAGGACTAAAATTCCATTTGTGTATAAAATAGTATAATGACACAACTAAAGATATGTTTGAACTGACTTTTCAAGAATGAAATATATCACTTAAAAGCACCCTTGCAAACTGTAAGGAAGATAACTGCAAAGGAAAATAAATCAACGCTTGAGATACTATACTGTAGAAGTTATATCAAAGTTGTTTATTCAAAAAAAGACATTTTGAGGAAATCACCAAATATATGTAAATTTATATAACCTGCGAGCCAAGATGATCTCAATTCTAGTGGATCGCCAACATAAAACACATAACTACCACTGTGTATCAAAAATATTTCACCAATGTATGTTGCGCTCCTTGATACCTCATAATAACCCTTAAACCATAATTATTTTTAAAATTCCAAATACCATTACACAATTAATAAATACCTATTAAAATGATTTTGTGCCAACCAATCAAAAATTAATTAGTGAATGGTTTAAGGGTTATTATGAGGTATCAAGGAGCGCAACATACATCAATGAGGAAATCACCAACTCGCCCAGTCCATAAAAGATCACATCAAAGAGGATTAAAAAAAACAAGGGACATTCTAAAAAACAGATACAACGTAGTAGTCTGTTCAAGAAACAAATAATGTAGAAAACTGTATTGAAAAGGACTACAAAAGGACAGTGAATGTTTCTCTAAAAATACAACAGAAATTGTATCAGGGTCAACTATTTAAGAAAGATATTATGGAAGAATTTTTAAACCCTCTTGTTCTTAGAATACTGTAACAAAGTTAACTATAAACTGTATGTCAATATGAAGACAGTGAAAGTGTACTTTTTATTTTAGTTTAAAAAAAAACACCATATTCATTATATATAAATTATCTAATGAATTTTTAAGTGAGTATACTGTATTTGTGAACTTGTTTTATCATTTTGTTGTGAAATAATTTACAACATAATAAACTGTTTACTTTATTTTAGGGATTACATGGTAGCATAATAATTTAAAATGACTATATGCAGAGTTAAAGGTGCACAGGATGAAGACAATACTTTTAGTTATCCCTTCAGCAATTTGCCAAGTCTGGTTTAACTGACATATTGGTTTCTGAAAAAAAAGGATCAATTTTGCATCTCTGTAGATATATAATAAGGCTGATTTACCAAATAAAATTACCAAAAACATTGAGAGTCTGCAAGGGTATGTTTGGATCATGGAACAATATACTGTATGTGAATGAATGTTTCCAAATATTGCATTGTGCACAGGGGCGGACTGACAACTCATGGGGCCCCCAGGCAATAGGGGATCATGGGGCCCCTGTGTCCTTGCCCAAACTCAAAAAAGCCTATGAAAAAGGCACCAGGGGCATCTCATGGGGCCCCCTACTGACCCCGAGCCCTCGGGCAGTGCCCGAATTTCCAAATGGTCAGTCCGCCCCTGATTGTGCATCATGGTCTATGAACCTACATAGCTAGTTGTATACTGAGTGAGTACAGCTGTCCTATAACAATGCGACTAGTGTGTTGTGCTTGTTAAAGTGGTCGTAAACCCTTATATATACCCAGTGAAGTGACTAGCCTCAGAAGATGATGAGATGAAACAAATCCACTGCGTAAGTTGTACTTGTTTATCTGGTCTTCTCTTCTCTACATCTGTTCAAAGTTTAGAAAAAGGGGGTGGGGTGCTGAAATTACAATCTGCAGAGCTCAGTGAGGAGAGCTCTGAGATCTGATTGGAGAAAGGGACACACCCCCTCCACACAGCAAATGGGAACAGAGCTTAGGTTGTAAATCACAGGCTGCATGCTGGAGCTACCTCCCCTGTCACCATTTTTCTCTTCGTGTCAGGAAAATTTATCAGAAGTGATTCATCCTGACCAGAGGAACAAAGAAACAAACAGAAATAACAATCGTGGAGCTCTTTATTGAGACACATGCATGCGTTAGAGAAATATGCTTTGTTCATATTACATGTATGAGTTTTACAATCACTTTAAACCTCCAAAAAATGTTGTTGTTACGCATACTGTTTTAGGATGCACCTCCAAATGCACATAGAAGAAAACATTTTAGTAAATAAGCTTAAAAAATAATTTACCACTTGCCAACCATACTATAGCCGAATGACAGCTACAGTGCGGCTGTCCAGTTCTGGGAGGGCGTTCATATGACGTCCTTCCAGAATGCGCACTCCCGCGTGCCCCCAGCAGCACACACCCGGCACTCTGCATGATCACTGTGTCATACTCATCACATAATGAGGTAATCACAGCGGCCTTTTACCATGTGATTGGCTGTGTCAATGTAAATACATTTGCTGGTTATCGGCAGCACTTTCCTCATGCTGTCACAGTATGAGGAAAGTACTGCCGATAGATGGCAAATGACACAGAGGACATCTCCACTGATCATCAAGGCACTGATCATCAGTGCCCTGATGATCAGTGCCCAGCAGTGCCCCCCAGTAGTGCCACTCACCATTGCCCAGAAATGCCTCCCACCAGTGCCCAGCAGTGACACCCATCAGTGGCAAGCAATGCCACCCATCAATGCCCAGCAGTGAAACCCATCAGTGCTGCCCAGCAGTGCCACCCAGCAGTTGCGCCCATCAGTGCCGCCAGTCAGTGCCACCAGTCAGTGCCGAAAGTCAGTGCCGCCCATCAGTGTTGTCCATCACTGCTGCCTATCAGTGCCCAGTGCCACCTATCAGTGCCCATCAGTGTTGCATATAAGTGCAGCATCATCAGTGCCTCCTTGTCAATGCCCACAAGTGCCTCCTCATCAGTGCCACCTCATCAGTGCAGCCTATCAGTGCCCATCACTGCTGCCTATCCGTGCCACTTCATCAGTACCCATCAGTGCTGCCTATCAGCACCCATCAGTGCTGCCTATCCGTGCAGCCTCATCAATGCACATCAGTCTAGGAGAAAAAATTACCTGTTTGCAAAAATTTTATAATAGAAACAAAGAAAAACTTTTTTAAAAATTTTTTTGCTCTTTCTTTATTTATAGTGCAAAAAATAAAACACCAAGTGGTGATTAAATACCACTGAAAGAAAGCTCTATGTATGTGACAAAAATGCTAAAAGTTTCATATCAGTACAATGCTGCATGACCGCTCAATTGTCATTCAAATTGCGGCACTGAAAGCTGAAAATTGGCCTGGGCAAAAAGGGGGTAAAAGTGCCCATTAAGCAAGTGGTTAAAAATATAACAAAAATTAATAAAAAAATAAAAAAAAAAAAAATATCAAAAGAAAAAAATGTGTTGAAGATTTTGGGAAAAAACAGTGCTTATTACAAATTCATAAATGCTTAAGAATGTTGCAAAATAATAAGGAAAAAAACATTGCATATTTATTGGTCCTTCAGGTGACACACTAGGGGGATTTACTAAAACTGGTGCACTCAGAACCCGGTGCAGCTGTGCATTGTAGCCAATCAGCTTCTAACTTTAGCTTGTTCAGTTAAGCTTTGACAATAAAACCTGGAAGCTGATTGGTTTCTATGCAGAGCTGCACCAGATTTTGCACTCCTCAGTTTTAGTAAATCTCCCCCACAGTGTCTTGATGGAGAAGAGGAATTGACATTTAGGGACCATTTATGTTTTTGCTGTGTGTTAGTGCACGTGCATTAATACACAATATATTGTGTTTTGTGTTACGGCAGCTCATTGAAATGATTGGACTGCCAAAGCACCCTAATCCGCCAAAAATCAGATGTGCACCATTTCTGGCAACACAACAAACCACAATGCACAACCATGGTTTGCCATGTGTTGTGGCGTGCTGCAACAACAGTGCATTGCCTTAGTACATTGGTAATGAATGTCACTGCAATGCATGTGATGTGGAGTTTAAATGAGCCATAACACAGATAAGATGGTTATCATCTATGTATTTTTATTTCCTTTGCTTGCCGTCTGTAACTGTTTAGCATTGTTCAACATAATATTTGACAGATGAAAATGTGATACACCTATACATGCCCAATAAGTACACCTGTAAAGAACTAATATGTTTGTCAGGGCTGGGCTGAGGTGAGACGTCTCCATTGTCAGAATACACCGATCAGTGCTGCCAGCTATAGCCTGCAGCGCTGATAGAGCGGAAACTTTCCAATAGGTCAGTTGTACAGAGACGTTATCGGCAGATTGAGTTCTGTTCAGCCACAGTGCCCATATATGGATCGAAATTCGGCCAGTCCATGCTGAATAAACCGAATTTCAGTCCATGTACGAACAGCCTAAAGAGTTGACCCATCGGGGTTGATTTACAAAAAAACTGTACAGTGCAGTTGCTCCAGAGCTTAGTAAATGAAGGTAAGCTCTAATGCCTTCCATCGTCCAATTATGTGCAAGCAAAAATGCTGTTTTTTTTTTTTTATTTTAGACCAAAATGTATTCTGCTACATCTTTGCTAAAAAAAAATCCCAATACGTGTAAATTAATTGGTGAAAGTTATAGCGTCTACAAATAATGGTATAGTTACATAGTTAGTCTGGCTGAAAAAAGACAAAAGTCCATCCAGTTAAACCATAAAAAAAAAAAAATAAAAGTTATAATCCTATACCCATTGTTGATCCAGAGGAAGGCAAAAAAAACCAGCAAAGCATGATCCAAATTGCTCCTGCTGGGAAAAAAATTCCTTCCTCATCCTCTGAGAGGCAATCGGATATTCCCTGGATAAACTTTACTCATAAATGTTAGCAACCAGTTATATTCTGTGTATCCAAGAAAGAATCCAGAGATTTTTTTAAAGCAATCCACTGAGCTGGCCAGAACCAACTCTTGAGGGAGTCTATTCCAGATTTTCACAGCTCTCACTGTGAAGAAACCTTTCCGTGTTTAGAGATTAAATTTCTTTTCCTCCAGACGTAAAGAGTGCCCCCTTGTCCTCTGTGATGACCTCAGGGTGAATAACTCTACACCAAGTTCACTATATGAACCACTGATGTATTTATACATTGTGATCATATCCCCCTCTTCTCAAGAGAAAATAAATTCAGTTCCTGTAATCTTTCCTCATAGATGAGCTCCTCCATGCCTCGTATCAGTTTAGTTGCCCTTCTCTGTACTTCCTCCAGTTCCCCAATGTTCTTTTTGTGAATTGGTGCCCAAAACTGAACTGCATATTCCAGATGAGGTATTACTAATGATTTGTACCGGGGGTAATATGATATCTCTCTCTCTGGAGTCTATACCTCTTTTAATACAAGAGAGCATTTTGCTCGCTTTAGAAACCGCAGCTTGGCATTGCATGCCATTATTAGGCTTGTGATCTACCAGAACCCCCAGATTCTTCTCCACCATTGATTCCCCCAGTTGTACCCCCCTAGTATGTATGATGCATGGATATTCTTAGCCCCCAAGTGCATAACTTTACATTTATCAACATTAAACCTCATTTACCACATAGTTGCCCAATTAAACAGTGCATTGAGGTCAGCTTGTAAGTTGAAGACATCCTGTAAGGACATTATTCCACTGCACAGCTTGGTGTCATCTGCAAAGACTGAAATGGGATTTTTAATCGTTTATAAATATATTAAAAAGTAAGGGTCCCAACACTGAACCTTGGGGTACACCACTGATGACCCCAGACCATTCAGAGTATGAATCATTAACCACTACTCTCTGAATACGATCTTTTAGCCAGTTTTCTATCCATTTACATACAGATTTTTCCAAGCCTGTAGACTTCACCTTACACATTAACCGTGTGTGGGGAACGGTGTCAAATGCTTTTGTAAAAGTATACCATGTCCACCACCACCCCTCTGTCCAAGTATATCACGTTCATTGCCACCCCTCTGTCCAAGGTTTTGTTCACCCCCTCATAAAAATAAATCAGATTTGTTTGATAAATTCTGTCTTTCATGAATCCATGCTGTCTGTTGCTTAAAATATTTTTTTCCAGCAAGAACTCATCTATGTGGTCTTTTATTAAACTCTCCAGTATCTTCCCAACTATAGAAGTTAAACTAACAGATCTGTAATTACTTGGTAAAGATTGTGACCCCTTTTTAAATAACTATATATACTAGAATTTTATATATATATATAAAAATATATATTAGTAAAGACGGCTATCAGCGACTTACAGCGGGACTGCAGCGGGCATTTTGACACTGAAGGGGAACTAACTGTCACTGACATCCCCAGTGACACCAATACAATGATCAGTGCTAATAACAAGCACTGACACTATACTAATGACACTGGGCAGGAAGGGGTTAACATCTGGGGTGATCTAAGGGTTAACTGTGTGCTATGTACTGTTTTGCTGTGTGCTGTGTGTGTGTGTTTTGTACTGTAAGCA